GCCTAAGGGGGGGATGCCTTCGTGGAGGACTTTATAGGGAAACTGGCTAGTATACGCGTTTAAACATGGGGAAAACCACGAAAACGCCCATGCAGCCAGCCCGTTCGCGGGATTCGAACCTCAGACCGAACTACCAGTGTTCAGCGACCTTACCGCTCGGCCGCTGGGGGGGCCTCTATAAAAGGAGGAAAACCTCTCAATTCAGTTGTTGTTAGTCAGTTGTTGTTTTAAGAGTTTGTTTAGAAAACTGCTCTTGTTGATTGTAGCGAATTCGCCAATTAGCTTTTTTTAGCTGTTTTGAATTTTAAGTTCTCTTGAACGTTTGAGTAGTTAAAAGATAACTACTGTAAGATATTGTAATACTGCACGAATATCTGAGGAAATTTAAGCATTTTTGTTGTGATAATAATAAATTTTGCTCATTTTTCATCGGACTTGTGCATTCATTTCATAACGAATCCGTACGCACGCAACAATACTTTAAATTTTTACTTTAAACTTTATTTCATTTAAGCTTTTCCTGTGATAAAAATTATTATTTCTTTATAAAAGAAAACACTAATACAGTGATCTTTGAAATTTTGCATCCGGTGTAAAAGATCTGAGTACCATGTAAAAAAAGGCTACTCTAAAACAGTCACAGAAAGTATACACTGCCATTTAGTAAATTATTAATCATTTGAACTGCAAATTTTAAGCATTTCTGGAACTTTTTTTTTAAACTTAAACAAGATCGAACTCCAAATCATGTATTTGTAATGAAATCTATAAATCATAAATTTTATAAATAGTTCTCAAATGTTTTGTTACAAGATTAAAACCTGTAAGTATAATACAGTAGCAAATCTTAGATAATTTAAAAAACAATGAAAAGTAATCATAAACCTAAACCTTTGTCACTAAAAATGACTATACATTTGCGCTGGAAACAAAATACTTGTCTATTCCTTATAATTCCGTTTAAATCGCCATCTATATTTTCCATTTTCAAGTAACAGATGGTAAATCTAAATGAATAAAGGAAAAAGGAATCTGCATATGTTTCAACAGAAAATTTCTACAATTTCGTGAGACACATTGTCGCACATTATTTAGAATTCGTTGCATTACAAGATCTTTGAAAAAAGTCTAAAACAAGAAAAAAAATAAATTTGATGACGGAAAGAAACAAAAAAGCGAAACTGCAAAACTTTAATCCGTGAATAATGCATGCTTGATGAAAGAACAAAAGCAAAACCAAATGCAGCGTCTAATTTGTTTCCATGTGCATAGATAAGACATTAGCTAATTTTGAGTCTCACGGTCATTTACTCAAGGTTCAGACGACGTTTAGTACAGTTAGAAAGCAATCTGTCTTGAAGGCGCATTCCGGAATAAAGAATTAAGATCTCCACATTTGTGACAAAATTTAGTCTGCCTTTTCGTTTCTTTTTTGAGCTGCAGAGAGCTTAATCTATTTACAATTTCTCTCATTCCCCACAAGTTTACTAAAACCTGCATTTGAGAAAGCGTCCTTATGATATAAATATGACATTAAAATTTACGTATTAGAAGTAAATTCGGAAACTTTTCATGACGGTAGCCAGAAGGATAAACATGTCAAATCCAATAATAGTTTTTGATGATGCAGATATGCAATTTGTGGGCATTCTAGGTTTACATAATTTAACAAAAAGGGTAAATAAGCCCTTTTGCAAAACAGTCATAACACAGTTGAAATTGAATTATCTACGACACCTAGTAAAAATACAAATTTACCACGTTATTGAAAACAACTTTTCTTTTGATATCTGAGGAGAGAAATCGAAGAGAGACTCTTTCGTGATTTATGAAAATTCTCAGTTTAGCTGTAAAATGGTATGTCTAGTCGTAAAATGATTTCTTTGGTATTCTTTTGTATAGAAGGGTAAATCTCAAATACGCCCTAAATTCAGACAATCTTATATGGTAGTTAAATTAGTAGTGTTTATAAACAAAACTAAATAATTTTTACATGAATCCTAGAATGTCTGGGGAAAGCATCAAAAACTGATTTGCATTATTTACGCAGGATTTTTAGCATTTAATTTTATTGCTTCTGTTTAATCATCTAGACATACAAGCACCAATTCAAATAATTAATTATGGCAATAAATTGAAAAAGTATTTTACATTCGTAAAGGACAATCGCAAGCAAATACATTTAATTTTATAGCCTGAACTGAAATATTATGCTGAAAACTACTTTGTGAGTGCCGGTAGGGTAGAAGAGACACAAGCGTTTCAGCTACAGTAAAAGCTCGTAAATTCTTTTCCGTTGAGATAAACAAATGTGGCTGATGGAAGTCGTTTTTATAATTTTGTAAACAAATCAACCAAGTACGACTTCGCTGTTGGGCTTAAAACAAATGAATACGGAACATACAGCAGCATGGACTACCTTTTTAGTTTTTATTTTAATATTTATTTATAACTCTTGCAAGAATACATAACTCAAAAGTTTGAATCATACCTTAAGTAAAATAAATTGTGCTTCTTACAGCTATTATTTACAAGTTTAGATTAATTACGATAGACTAAAAATTTACCTGATATTTCTATTGGTATGTTTAATATCCGGAATAATCAGTAAAACAGTAATGAAAGTCTTAAGTAATTACTCGTTAAATATTGCATTTGTATTAAACCTGAAGTGGGTTTAAATAGGAAAGCAAAAATCTCAATAATGAACTTAAATTATTAATTTGTCAAATTAGTATCTGGATAAACAATCATTAACGTTTTTTATTTAGCACCCTAAAGGACAGTGTGTCCTGTGTTGACGAGCATATGAAGCAATGTTTCACTCCAACTCAAAGGAAGGTATTCAATCATGTTGTTGCAGGAGCCAGGCAATTTTTGGTGGAATTGTGCGTAACAGGACCCATACAAGAAGGCAAGTATATTTTATTTGAATGGAGCTCCCACATCCTTTTCCTTTATGATAGTATAGATTTTTTGTTATACTGACTTCCTCAAATTTTTGCACGAAATGTTTTGCTTTATTGCTTCATTATTAACTTTTGTTTCCCTTCTGCTAGAATACTGCTTAAGATTTTTTTTTTGTTACTTATTTTCCATTTTCTAATTCATAAATATAAATGTACATATTATTTCTAAACAAAATTATAAAGATCTATTTTTCTATTTACCTTAAATATCCGAATTTCGTTCTTTCAATCGTACTATGCATCCTATTTTCTATATATTATCGCAGAAAATCTCTAAAATGTACCAAATTTTTAATACTTAAACTAATTAAAATTAAATGGTGGTGTGTGTGGTGTATTTAATTATGGCAAAGCACTCTAGGGCTATCTGCCTAAGGGGAGGGATGCAATTCGTGGAGGACTTTCTAAGGGAAACTGGCTCGTATACACGTTATACATGGGAAAATCCACGAAAACGCCCATGCAGCCAGCCCGTTCGCGAGATTCGAACCTCGACCGAACTACCAGTGTTCAGCGACTTTTACCGCTCGGCCGCTGGTGGGCTAAAATTAAATGAGTCTCGTGTAATATGTATTCCAAAAAGAGCAGAATGAATAATTGTACTGATATATTTTTAAAAATCTGGTCGAACATAAATCGAAATATTTAAAAAGGAAACATAATTTAACATTGTCTGAGCATAAAATAAACTTATTATTGCCTGTAAATTTCTAGTCCTTAAAGTAGCATTTGTTTTCAAAGCAATGAAAATGAACTTTTCTCTTAACAATTCTATTAAGGATCTCTTTTATTCGTAAGCTCAAATGCAATCAAGCATAAGTTCAAGAAATGACATTTTTGGAAATTACTTGATCCCCAAAACTGAAAAATACATATGAAGGCTAAAGAGGTAAAGCAGAGGGTGTATTAGAGCAATAAAATAATTGTTTCAACCATAGATAATGTCTAGATGCAGAATTTCAGTTTAATATATTGTTAGTAAATCTGAAAAAACCAATTAAATTCTTGTAAAATAACGAATACTAAATTCAATGTATGAAATGCAAGCCTCGTGGAATACTTCGGGGAACACGAAGAGTTTTATATTTGCTTTCTTAATTAAAAAATGTATGAAATGGGAAAAAAGACAAAAATTAATAATATGGGACAAAGTATTTTTCCTAACGCTGTATGAATTTAAAAAACTCTCTGAATCAAACGGCAAGTCTTCTTAAACCTTGAAATCTGATAATCTGTGGACATGCTTCAGTTTGAAGTCTATTTTAATTATTCATTTTTAACTCTATTACCTTTTGAATGATTGCTATGGTAGCTTTCTGTCATACGTTATAACATATATTTCTGAAATGACAAGCTTTAAATCAAAACAATAACCAATTATTTTATGTTATACAATGACTGGCTATTGAAATTGCGATTTACGATTAATTAACTCAGTTACAAGAAGCTAGCAGTATCGCCGTTTTTGAATTTCAATATAAGTATTATTTATAAATTATCTTCGAAGGATTATAAAGAAAATGAATTCTGTTTAGGGAAGTTTATATGACATTAATTCTTGAAGACAAATGGGCGGTGTAGCTAAATCTCCTCAGACCAGACTGTTAATAGTAAATTCTGAAAATTTGCTTCAGTTGCTTATCGTAACAACTTGATTTTTGTTTAGAAATCCGAGATGTTTGCTCTTTTGATATAGTTTTTATTTGCGTTACTGTCTGAAGTGGAACTGTTGAAGAAGTTTAAAGCGTTGAAATCATTTTTTTATGCGAAAATATTTCAGGAAATGATAGTATATCAAAGTAAACTTAAATCAGAAAACTATCCTACTTGGAGAGCAAAATCACTTTATTAACATTTTACTTTATTATTTTAAAATCGCGCTCATAATAGACTAGAATAGAAACACGCTAATTTGACAATCAAAATCATAAAATCAACCTTGTATTTAGCGTAAGTATATTGAAACACTCAATCGATTTCGAGGGCAGCTAAAGGTCCCTCTTCATCAGGAAAAAGAAATACCTAGAAAGAAGAAAAAAAGACTCCTTCCCCTTTATTTTTCTTCTTTCTATGTATTTCTTTCTCCTGATGAAGAGGGACCGTTAGCTGCCCTCGAAATCGATTGAGTGTTTCAATATACTTACGCTAAATACAAGGTTGTTTTTACGATTTTGATCGTGCTCATAATGTCTGTCCTTTTCAATAATAGGGCTATAAATGAAAGCACGTTTTGCAATTATGTAATAAAAGTATTCTTTTTCATACTATAATTAAAGTTGAAGAATTCCTGGTTGGAAATACCAGAAAAAAGTAATCCTCATTTCAACAAGCCTCTCAGATTGTTACTAAGGTAAAGAAAAATTATTTAGTTACATCCAGAAACTGAAGCAAAGTTTTGAAAAAAAAGAAAGAATGCATTTCTAACATTTCTGGGACGATAAGCTCATTCATTTTCGCGTATTCCGGGTAAAAACAGGAATCTAATTATAAATATAGGGTGTGAAAATCCCCACCAAATAAAATTTATTTCGAGATTTAACGAGCTATTGTCACGCTGACGATGTAGATGACGGCTTTCTTTTCTGCGGTGTAAAATTCCAGAGCAAGGAGCTTATTTAATTATGAATATTACACCCGTTTGCATTATGATTTTTTTTCTCTCTGTGCATTTCAGAATGGAGTATCACGAAAAAGTGTCGTTTCTTTTTAAAGCCTAGAGAATTGAGGATAGAAAGAATAATGAGACTTCACAATTGAAATTTGAATATTTCTTGAAAGGCTTACAGAGGAGAATTATTTCGTTCCTCACATTTTGCAGCACTGAAATGAGAAAAACCCAGTGTGCTCTTTTAACAGAGGCTTAGCAATTCACATTTGCTACTTTAAAAAAAAGAAAATAGTTTTGCTTTGTACAAATATGCTAAAAATCTCATAATAGAGCAAACAAAAAAGAAAAAACATTGCTGACAATTGTAAGATAATAATCATGTCATTACTTAATGATATTACTCAACCATATGTTTTCATTAATGCTTCAGAATTATTTGCATAATATATGTATATATATGTTTTGTATTGTGCACACGTAAGCAGCTTATAGTTTCAAAGATAGTAGTATAATCATTAATCATAACATTAATGGAATGTCAACAAAATCAAAGACAATTTTCAGCTTCGGGATAGTTCTCGGAATTTCATCTTGTCATTCCCCTCCGAGAACTATCCCGAAGCTGAAAATTGTCTTTTTCTGCAAACGTGGGATCATTTACCACAGGAATGCTTCAACTGCCTCCTGGCCAATATACTGTCGACCTGGAGGGACTATCTGGCTGTGAGAGAGGACTGTACTCATATTAGACGCATTTTAGTTCAATATCACAAGCTGTATTCTATATATCCTTGAATTATGAGCTTTACTAATAATCATGCTTGCATAAAATGACTTTTGAAAGGTACATGTCTTTCTCTGTTTATAAGTAATAGTGTTTATAAGTATTTATAACAAAATTCATTAAAATCTGCTCATGAGTTTTTCAGAAGTTCTACGTAATGTGAAAATTTTCATAGTTTTGCACATATGTGTATTTACGTTTGCCTTTCCCTTTGGCTTTGTCTTTTAATAGTTAATTAATCAGACCGAATCTTGTCATTTTACATTTCGATTTGTATTTATAATATCAATACCTTGTAAGCGAAATTAAAATTACGAATTTTTATAAAATTTTATTACACAGTTCTCTAAGAATGCAATACCAGAAAGGCAGATCAATGTTCTGCGTGAATCATAACGCATTTTAATTTTAAATGTTTAAAAAAATATTAATCCGTTCGTAATTAAAATACGTTCGAAGAATTATTTGCGAAATAGCTCTTTCCTAATCTTTAGCATATTAGCATTCAACTATAATAATGAGCCTTGTCGTAAGTTTTAGGTTTTCGCGATCAAGGTTAGCTTTTAGTTTAGTGACGGAGGACGTGGGTACCACTCCTTTACCATTATGGTTAATTGTTAGGATAGCTTTAGAAGACTATTTTCCGCTCTTTAATATAATGTCTAATACCTAGTAGGCATTTTAGCGTTTTCTGTGTAGGGCTTCTGTATATGGTGACCCGTAATATGTATTCATGCTATCATGATAATGGATAACGATTTTTATCCCATTCTTCTAACATTTAGAGGTGTAGCTTTGAAAGAAGGAAGTATAGCGAACGCTCCAAATTATTAACTAAAGAGACTTGTTCATTTATTTTGCTTTATGTAATTACCTCTCCCCTTTAAGCACATTATCTTTCTTCTAACCTAAGCTTCGAACTTAGTCTAAATTGTTGTTTCAGGTCACTGATTTCCGCTATTAATTTAGAAACAAGTAATATTTTCTAATGAAGTGTACTTTCTTCATTAATATTGTAGAGACATTAGGTTAATTGGAAAAGCCGGAGAGATGAAAAATTAGCAATCGCCTTCATCGGTAATCGAACCACGGACCTCTGGAATACCGGCCCAATGTGCAGAACCACTACACCACGAAGGCACGCTAGGAAAGCGGGAGAAATACCTTATAACATGATTTGATTCCTTTTGCTGTGTGTTAGTTATGACCACAAAATATTTACTCTGTAACACTAAGCAATATCACTATTAATGAAATGCTTACTTTCTGTTGCTTTACTTACATATAATTTTGCATGAGATAAAAAGTGTGGTATATCTTTATTTTTCACAAGTGAACAGCTATATTAAAGGTAAGTGAATAAGAAACGAAATCATATGTGCTATATTCATGTAAATAGCTATTAATGGGACCTCCCCCCCAAAAAAAATAAAATGAACTTATAATTAAAATAAACTGATTATTTTCACTACTGTATCTTATCAGCGTTTCAAACTGTTCATTAATTAATCAGCGCTTAAAGTTGGAAAATTTGCTTAATGGCGAGTTTTAAA